CATCAGCATCAGCATCAGCATCAGCATCAGCATCAGCATCAGCATCATCCACAGACTGAAGTACCAGGCAAATACACTGAAAAACTCTTAACAATTATCCAGGAAGACTTTAGGTTTTTGTCCCTTTCTGTGCGAACCTCATCAACGGAGACTGTCATTAGCAGCTTTTTTTTTTAAAGAGCTAATTTACACTAGTGTGGGTAAGTAGATAAGAGTTCCCTCATTTTTGGAGGAATGTGTTGATGCCAAAGGGCTAAGCAAGGTCCCATCAAGTGTGAAGTGTAACAAGTGCTATGGTTCAGACCTTTTGTCTCCTGTGCCATGCAATGGGTTTCTAATCCACTGAAATTTTCTAAACGAGCCTCCAGGAATAGTTCCATAAGGTATTCTGGAGAGTGTCACACTAAATCTCCATTCATCTGGTTAACTTATGAATTATTAAACAAAAGAATAACAATGCAGTGGTCCTCAAAGCCTGGTGGGCTCCCAACTTCCATCATCAGCATCCCCAGGAAACATCCGTGATGCGTGTTCTCGGTTGCTGAGTCAGAAATGTTGGGGTGGCCCCAGTGGCCCCTTTGGTAAGTCTTCTAGATAATCTTGATGCTTGATTAGATATGGGAGCCATAGTAGTGAAGAGCTGGGGATTTGGAATGGCGCAGCTATGGACCAGAACCAGCCAAAGGCCTTAAGAAAGCCTTGGGTGTGGAAAGGGACTCAGGCTACTTTAAGCTTTGTGGCATCAGCTTACTTTAGAGAACTTCACATTGTAGCCCAGGCTGGCCTCAAACTCAGGGTAGTCTTCTTGCCTTGGCAAGTTCAGGGATTACAGGCCTGTAACCCTTGTCTGGCTCTCATGCCATTATTTTAAAAATGAAAGTGAGATATTAGTGCTTTCTGTAGGACTGGCATATAAACTAATTGGTATGCAAGCTGAAGACAGTTCCCTTAAGTGCCCCGCGCATGGTGGCTTTGTGATTGGCATTCAAGCATAAAGCATTGTGAAACGCATGGCTCTCACTTCACATCAGTGGGATTTGTAACTGCTGAATGGGAAGCAAAGATAAGAGGTAAAAGAAAAAAAAATCACTCGAGGCCAAACTCTTTGGAAATCATTAGCCTGAGCTGACACCAAACCTCAGGAACCCTTGGCTTCCTCCAGGTTCCCTTTGTTCCCCAGGCAACTGAACAGCACTGCAGGTTACTTTCCTGTTAGAACCTGGACTCAGAAACCTCAGAAGACCTTGGCTCAAGGGCAGGGAAAGAACTTCCTAGGGCTGTTGGAAGCAGAACTTAGGTGTCCCCTGAACTACAGGCTGTCACTGCGTCTCCCTCAGAAGCCTTCTCTGTTTCTCACATTGATTTTCAAAAACTTCTGTGGTTTGCCAGGTCTGAAGTAATGAAGGAGTTAACTCAGCCAGGACCTCAGTTCCTTCCTAAACTCTCTAAAATCTCCAGGCTGTAGATCTGACTGTGGCAGCAGCTTTACTTAGGAAAGGGTCCAACTTTCTATTGGGGTGGGAGGCCAGACTTCTTAAAATTATTATTTTTAAAGTAGCATTTAATTTTTTCCTCTGTCCGTGCGTGCATGCATGTGTGTGTGCTTGTAAATATGCTACAGCTCGTGTCTGGAGATCAGAGGGCAGTTTGGAGAGATTGGCCCTCTCCTTCCATCATGTGAATCTCTGTGATCAGTGATCACGTCCAGGTCACCAGACTTGGCAGCAGATACCCTTACCTGCCCTGCTATTCTCTAGTTCCTGTTGACCTTTGAATTGAAAATATTAACCGAAGGGTCCAAGAATAAGAATATAGAAATGTAGATTCCAGAAATAAAAATGCAGAAATAAAGAAGTATAAAGTTGTAAGCCTAGAAGAATGAGTTCAGGCTGTCAAAAGATTAACTATCAACAGTGGGTTACTCTGCTTTACAAACAAAATATTTATAAGGCCAAAGCATCTCTCTGCAAACTGAAAGCTAGCTGAAGATAACACCCCAGCCAGCTGTGATTAACGAGAGTTAACCTTTAGGAGGTGGCTATACATGACCTCTGGGTTATGCATTATCCCTGCTATGTGAAACAAGCAGATCAAAGGGGAGACCACAGGGCTTCAGTGAACACCCCCTGAAGATACCAGGGAAGACAGTAGATTCAGTACAAACACTAGTTTAACTGAAAAACTCTTAATGCAGATTGTAAAGGAAGGCAAGCCGTATCCTAGTTTTACCTTGAGATTGTAAAAATTCCTTTGTTCAGACTTAATGCTTGATGCCCCTTACTATAAGAAGGTGGGCTCAGAAACTGGCCTTTGCCATAGCCTTATTTATAAACCCGTCTGGGACTGTGGTCTCAGCTAGCTGATAAGCTTTTTGTGCCCTGCGGTTGTTTTTTATTTTTTATTTTTGTCGTGGGATAAAGTTTGCTTCTGGTTTATTAGACTTGGTGGTCTGTCCCTATCTTTGTGCTATTCCTCTATGGACCCAACACTGATCTCATTTTCTGTAGGTGCCAATTTTGGTATTATACTGTCAGCCTTCTCAAAATATTGTTTATAATCATCAGCCAAGAAATCTTTTCATTTTTAATTTATGTCCATTTCCTCCTTATGGGCACAGGAAACAGTTGCTTCTTGTCCTCCCTGTAAAATCATCTAACGCTTAAACCCACAGACTCTGACGTGAGACTAACTGGGATCAAGTCCTGTCTTAATCTCTTGAGTCTCAGTTTTCAAAACCTGTAAAATGGAATACTGATAGCTCCTACTTTATATGGTTGTTGTAAAATTAAATGAGGTTCTGTGTTCAATAAATATTAAACATTACAATAGTAGATGTGGTGGTTTGAAAGAAAATAGCCCCCAAGGGGAGTGTCACTACTAGGAGGTGTGGCCTTGTTGGAGTAGGTGTGGCCTTGTTGGAGGAAGCGTGTCACTGTGGGAGTGGACTTTGAGATCTCCTTTGCTTAAGCTACACTCACTGTGGCAGACAGTTCACTTCCTGTTGTCTGTGGACCAAGATGTAGAACTCTCAGCTATGTCTCCAGCACCATGTCTACCTACACACCGCCATGTCCCACCATGATGATAATGGACTGAGCCTCTGAACTGTAGGTGAACCACCACAACCTAAATGGTTTCCTTTGTAAGAGTTGCCATGGTCATGGTGTCTCTTCATAGCAACAGAAACCCTAACTAAGACAGTGTAGCTCTGAAAGCATAAATCACTGATATTATTACCTTGGATTTCAGGAAGCATTTGAGATTCTTTTAGGTCCATATGAAGACTGAGTGGATGGACATTTGCTCAGTGTGAGACTGTACAAAGACAGAGAGAACTTCTTGCTATGCCAACACTATTAGTCTGCAAATAATCTTATTGCCTTTGGGGCAATGGCAAGTTCGGAGACTTTGTTTTAAACAATAGGGCTTGCTAATATTTATGTTCATTTTACCATGTGTTGTGCTCTGTATTCATTAACATAGTCAATAGCCCACGTGGTCAGTGCCGTTATTGACACCCAGCTAAGAAAATGGAGGTCATGAGGCTATCCAGCTCAAGGTTTCAGAATCAATACCTGGCAGAACCCTGATTTGAACCCAAGTCAATATGAATGCCAACCCTGAAGTGGCCAGAGGAAATCCGTCACAGAGCCCACTCAGAGAACAATGTGTGGAGGAGCAGGTGAGGGCAGAAGACACTTTTGCTACTTTTGAAATTCTCTACTAGGGAATTTCAGTTGCTTGGAAGAGTTGTCTTCTAGGATTCCAGGCCAAAGTTCATGTCCCCTTGTCACCACAGGCCACCAAAACTCCCTTTCTGTCATCCAACATGAAAACCAAACCAGGCAGAGACTGGCCCCAGAGATGGAAGAAGGGAGATTAGCCCTGCATCTTTCCCAAGGCAAGGCATTCCTGAGGAGACCTCGTGCGTGGCGGTCCATTTCAGTCTCCTTTCCCAGCGGCTGCCTTGGGCACAGTCTTAGAACCTGGAGCCCCATAGAAAGCAAGGAAAGATTGCTTACCACCCTTCTCCAGCTCCCATATGGCCATGAGTGGAGACGCCAGCAGAACCACAGCGAACCAGGAGATGGTTAGCCTCTGATGACACATCTGTGTGGAGAAGCAGGAGGAAGAGGAGGAGGAAAGGCAAAGAAGAGACAGGAAAACAGGGCAGAGAATGTCAACTATAATCCAATTAACCAAACCCATACTTCCTCTGCCTTCTTTTTTTTTTTAAAAAAAAAATATTTATTTATTATGTATATAGTGTTCTGTCTGTGTATATGCCTTGGCACCAGATCTTATTACAGGTGGTTATGAACCACTATGTGGTTGCTGGGAATTGAACTCAGGACCTCTGGAAGAGCAGTCAGTGCTTTTAACCTCTGAGCCATCTCTGCAGCTCTTCTTCTGCCTTCTAAATATTGCCTTTCCCCTTCCCCTTCCTCGCTGTCAGCTAGTAGGATTATCGGAGGTCCAGTCTATTTTTGGGTAGAAACATCTCCAAATGGAGAACCACAGGCTACCTGGAGCTGAGAGAATCCTAGGACCCAGACATCTGATACTATTTGGTCTTTTAAATATGTCTTTATTTCTATTGTATGTGTGCGTGTGTGCGTGTGCGCATTAGCGCGCGTGGAGGTCAGAGGACAACTTTTGGCAGTTGGTGCTTTCCTTCCACTGTGGGAGCAGGGCTCGAACCCAGGACATCAGGCTTGTGCGGCTGACGTTTGAGCTGCTGAATTTGTCTTGCTGATACTGCTCTTCTCCCCTTCCTTCCTTTTTGAAATGGAGTCTCGACCCCAGCTGTCCTGAAACTCGCTGTGTAGACTAGGCTGGTCTCAAATCCACAGAGATCCACCTGCCTCTGCCTCCTGAGCGCTGGGATTAAAGGTGTGCACCATCACATCTGGCTCATTATCTTATCAGTTTAAGGATCAGAAACACAAGCTTAGAGGTGGAACTTGGCTTCCTGGAACCACGTGCAGCACTTAGTTCTGATTGTAATGGTAATATAACACCTATGGAGCTTTGAACAGAGCGGGGTAAAGGCTTCACCTACACACTGCTTTCCGGGACCAATACTGTGTGCTATGAGTATTTACTCAGACGGTGTGAGCTCTGCCACCCCTCTCATTGAGCAGCTGTATCCCTGCCCATTGTGCAGAATGTACTGGGATGCCCTAGGCTAAAGGACCAGGTCAGGTGTGGGAAAGGTAATGTAGTGGTAAACTTTCAAGTTCTCGCAAGAACCTGTAGTGGCTTAGATTTTCAAAACATTGACAGAAAGTACTCCAAATTCTAAGACAGCTCTCACCCTGGAAACAAAACTTAGCATTTTGTAAGCTTGAGTATAAGATATAACCCAGACTTACTAAGACTACTGAGTCTCAGCCCAGATTGTGTGATTTAACATGTCTTTAGGGTTCCTGAAGCTGATGCTTTGGGTCCATGAAACTCATAAGGCAAACATGTTAGCCAGTGTTTAAGGTCCAGAATGCCTACAAATCAGGTGTTCTTTGGCAGAAGACCATGACATATTGATTCACCCACCATGGAATTTTGAAGTACATAAGGCAGCCACCATCTTATATTGTAACGCAATCTAGATTAACACCCAGGGTTAACAGAAATCTTTTGACTGGAAAGTTTATACCACACTCATGAATGTGTTTGAGATAATTAGTGTCTAATTAATTCCCTTCAGAAACACCCCCCTCTACCTTGGAGGATGCTACTACCATCTGGCAGGGATAAGATTTGAGAGACCACAGGTCTAATCCATATGAATTAAGGATTAGCTGTTCTAGGCAAATGCCTTAAAAAAATGAACACACTTTGGTTCTAGATCCTGGCTTTGTCAGAATTACTGCTAACGTTTGCGGACCTTGCTGTGTTCTCTCTTTCCTTACAGATATCATCAACGACAGAGACAGGACCAGAATCCAGGCCTTGTTCAGGTCCAAGTTATCATACAGCCAAGTACTAGCTGAAACGGGCACTGGTTGGGCACATCCACAGGCTTGGAGTTAAGCAGACAAGGGCTTGGACTCTGGCCCTGCGACTCAGTAGCTGAGTGGTGTGGGTCTTGGTCCTCTGAGCCCTACTCTCCTCTCCTGTAAAAGGGCATAGTAAAGGCGTGTGTGGTTTTAAAGGGCTGTGAGGTGTGCAGTGATATATATATATATATATATATACACACACACACACACACACATACATACGTATATATATATACATGTGTATGTATGTATATGTGTATCTATCTATCTATCTATCTATCTATCTATCTATCTAGATAACATAGTGGGCAACTGATGGCGTGTTACCTCGCACTAGCCGAAGAACCAGGGAAACATGCGAAATTCTTTCTGTTTCGTATGCAGAGGGTTTAAAAATTAAAAAAAAATCTGCCAGGCTGTAGAGAGATGCCCAGGGAAAGCGATGCAATTATATCTGTCTGTAAAACCCAGATGGCAGCTCTCTGGGAAGGGAAAAGGGCAGAGATTCCTGGCATCTCCTGGCAATCTCTTCATATGCTCACAGCACAGGGGTTTTCCCCTTTGGCTGCATGCCAGAAATTTCCTCTGTGTGGCTCGGATGCATCTGAACATCACACGTGTACCGTGTTTCAGGTTGAAGGGAGCCCTGGCAATGGTTCAAGGCACACGCTTCATCACAGCATCACCTTGTGCATCTTAGAGCACAGAGTACCAGCAAAGGGTGAAGATGTTGGTGAGCCACCTCTTAACCAAACCCACACAAACAAAAAAGGTGCAGGATGTGGCGAAGCTTTGGCTTTCCGGTTGAGCAACAGACACCAGGGAACTATTATCTCTCTCTCACGCCACAATTCTTCGACACAATAACTTTCGATGATTCAGTCTCTTTTTTTTTTTGGTTTTGAGTTTTTTTAAATATGATTTTGTTAGTTTTCTAAACTTCTGAGATTCTTGGACAGACCCAGGAACCCCGGGTTAGACAGTCCAACTCCCTAAGAGTATGTAAATGCTCCTAACATTGCTGCCAACCTGGGCACAGGGCACCTGAGTGGACAGCCCTTTTGCAAGTTTCATTCTGTTATTTTTTAAATTCAAAAATAGAAATAGTATTTAAAAATAAAAATGCTCAGAAATAACAATGCACAGTACAGACGGCCTGAGCGGTGTGGGCAAAGGGTCATGGTCCCAGAGCCAGGCAGACCTTGCTCTGCCCCTTGTTAGTTATGTGACCCTGACAAGTTGAACTGACTTCTGCAAACCTTATACTCCTAGACTGTAAAATGGGAACCACATCAGGACAGGAGTTCATAAAACAATCCATAGAAAGTGCCTGCTTGATCTGCAAATGAAATCAGGACCCCCAAATACCCACTCTTCTCCTCCCTCAACGATGGCAATAATTTGGTTACATCTTTAATGTCTATGTCCCCCATACTGAGGCCTGATGGCCGAATTCATGTCTGTCTTATCTTATACCTAGAAGGTGTAAGAGTCTAGCCTAGAGGGAGTCCATGGATTATTGGTATATTTCAGATCTCAGCAGAATGAACTTTGGAGGCGACCTAACCTCATCCTGAAACACTGCTTGCACAAATTGAGCAGCCAACTGAGACTTCGTGGTTGCTGTGTAAAAATGTGTGGTCAACCTGATCCCTCTGGTACCCCTGACTTTACCTGGGCAAGCAGAAGAAACGAGCCCAGGAAGATGATCTTCCACCCCCTTTCTCACAGATTTTAGAACCCTTTAGGAAGGAGTTTTGAACACGACCAAAGCTTTTCGGTTTTGATGAGGTGGTGAAGTCTCCTAAAAAGCCACAGGGAACCCCAGAACCCAGCTATGCATGTGACTGTCACAGCTGTCTCTATAGCCCACCACAGGGAGGGAAGCAAGCATGGCATTCCGTTACGAGTTTAGTAACTGTAAGGGGTGCAGGAAAGCTTTTTAAAAAGTTTTCACTAGTAAGGCAAGAACTTAACTACACTTGTTAAGAGACAGGCATTAGTACCGATGAACATGTATATATGTGTGTGTATCTATATAAGACAAAGCAAACCATCTGGGAGGTGGTGGCGCACGCCTTTAATCCCAGCACTCAGGAGGCATAGGCAGGCAGATCCCTATGAGTTCAAGGCCAGCCTGGTCTACAAGAGCTAGTTCCAGGACAGACTTCAAAGCTACAGAGAAACCCTGTCTTGAAAGATAAAATAATAATAATAATAATAATAATAATAATAATAATAATAATAATAATAATAAGGGACTGGAGAGATAGCTCAGCAGTTGAGAGCACTGGTTGCTCTTCCAGAGGACCTAGGTTCAATTCCCAGTACCCACATGCAGCTCACAATTGTCTGCAGTTCAAGTTCCAGGGGATCTGACACCTTTTCTGACATATATGTAGGCAAAACACTAACACACATGGAATGAAAATAAATAAATCATCAAATCCAAATAATAATAATAATAATAATAATAAAAGACAAAGCGAACCAATCTATCAGATACACATCTATTACAGGGTTTCACACATTATTAGGAACTCATTCTATTTTTTTGAGACAGAGTTTCAAACTCTTTCTGTAGCTGAAACTGGCCCTAAACCCCCAAATTTGTTCATTCTGCCCCCACTTCCAAAATTTGCAGAGTACAGGTGTATGCCATCGCATCTGTAATTAGCTGACTTTTTAAAACAAATATTTGTGTCCCCAAGTGTCTAGCTTTCACCAGCAGATAAGCCATAAGGAAGACCTGCAGACTCCCTTCACCCCCGCTCCCAGACTGCCTGCTTCAGGAGTGGCACAGCCTTTAGGCACAGGGAATTAGTGGCAGGAAGCAGGAGAGGACTCACCTTGGTAGTTACAGGCTGCCTGGTCTGGTGTGCCTCGACCGCTGCTCCTTCTGCCGTTGCAGTTGCTCCTAGAGCTTATATACTCTACTCCTACAGAACTCTCTGATGGAAACCCAAACTAGAAACTGACTAGTCCCAGTTGCAACATTGAAAACTAGCGTCAAAACATTTTGGGGAATTTTAAGAAGTTCCTCCCCCCCCTCCTCCCTGTCTCTCGGTGTGCACCCATCACACAGAGGGAATACAGACATCAAAATCCCAGGTAAGAGGAAATGACTTCGGGGTGTGGAAAAAGGAAGAAGACAGATGTTAATTTCTGTTTGCATCACGCCCAAGGTGAATAGAGGCAGCAATAGCCAACCTCCCCAGGATTTCACAGGCTGGGGAAAAAAGGAAGGTCATGTCCCCAACTGAGTTCATGGTTCAGCCACAGTCTAACAACGAGGTGCTACCGGCCCTAAAGAATAATCTACAATTCTGAAGTCAAGGTAGATGAGATGACCGGCAAAGAGCATCGTGTATCTGGGCCAGCTTTCTCTGTTAACATCTGGGTTCAGAAGCTATTACCACCTATTTGATTGCATGCACCCCCCCTCCCCACTCTGTTCTATATCTACAGGCAGCCTCAGGGAGGTGGGCAACTAAGATTCACTGTGTTCTGGGGCATCTCCTATGCTCATAGGTCCTTACTCATGGACCAATGATAACAGGAGCTGAACTAGTCGCAGGCAAGTTTACAGATGCCCGATGCCGTACTCAAAAGTCACTTTTGCATACTCAGACTATACCGTTTCATTATGCACATATCTGCGGTTCAAGAAACCCCGAGTAATTTTCTCCTCTTAGGGAATTTAAAATTGCAAAGAGGTGAGCAGTGGTGTACATGGTGTTAACTCCCTTCCCCATCTGCATTCAGAAATACCAGTACTTGCACGTCTAGTTGGCTTCAGATGTGGGCCACTCTCAAAGCTGCCGATAGAGGGCGCTTCGGTGAGGCCATCCTCGCAGTTGGGACGCACCGGCTCGCTTCTCCATTCCTGCCCCAGGCCTGGGTCCCCGCCGCCTGGGAAGTTCCTAGGGCTGAGGCTGGACTCGGTCAGGTTTCGGGTGGTGCAGATTTCCGGGCTAACTTTCTTCGAAGTGTCAGCCTGCCTAGGGGGGAAAACGGGAAACTTGGGTGAGAACTGCGGAGCTTCCCAGCTGCAAACTTCCTCCCTTCTGCAGCCCAGCTGCAATCCCTCTGGTTCTAACCCGCTCTCGGCTGAGAGTGGAGACGGGCAGCCGAAGCAAGGTAGCAAGTGGCCTCCCTTAACTTTGATTCCTAAGCTTTGAGTGAAACTGATTTTGTATACAAGATAATTCTTACGTGAACAAAGTAGCTTTCACTGCGTATTTGTTGTGCTGTATAGTGTGTGTGTGTGTGTGTGTGTGTGTATGCGTGTGTGGTGTGTGTGTTTCACAACGGACACCGGAGGGACTTTCTGCGGTTTCCTGAATTTGATTGTTACAATAAATATTTAAATATGTAACAACTTGGGTGTGTGTGTGCGTGCGTGTGTGTGTGTGTGTGCGTGTGTGTGTTTATCCGTCAGAAATAAAGTTTGAAATGTCCCTAATCAATCACTAGAGGGTACCGAACAGCTAAGGGGATATAAAATAGACACGGGACTACAGTGATTGCATCGCTGTAGCTGAGCCCTCACACCCTCCCCCATAAATATACACAAACATGAGCTGAGACATCCCCCCCAAAGATGACGAATATTTTGTTCATGTGTTCATAAAAGTATCTTCAAAATTTTGGATATGTATGATTGATGACATAAAGTCTCAGTTAAAAAAAATAACACGCTGGCTCTGGCAAAGCTCTGAGAGCTGCCATAGTCCCTATGACTGAGATTGCTGGTCAGGCTGATTCTACATGCAAAACTCAGGGTTATCTCTGCCCATCTTCTCCAAGGAGAGATGGGGAATTACATTAGATCACGGGCTCTGCTCTCTCTTAGGACTGGATCCAGCACCATCTTGGGAGGCTACCTAACCTTTCTGAGCCTCGCAGCTGTGTTGCAGGGTTGGTAAGTGTCCTCTGAGTTTAGATTAGCTGTGAAGACTAAAGGGGCTTATTTCATGGTGTGCACCAAGCAAAGAAGGCTGGGCTTGAAGAATCTCTTCTTAGGCTGATTTACTGGTTTATCCCACCCTGTCCCTGGAGGGCTTCAGATGGCTCATGAGGCAAGGTTAGAGATGGCTACGGGAATAGCCATCTTTGGTCCTGACGGGAGGAGTAACAGTGAAGCTCCCAAGCAGGCTTCTTCATGAAGCTGCTTGGCTTGTGGTTGAACTCATTGGACTCAGAGCCTTCAGGTAGCCAAGACAAGTAAGATAAACTTGACCTCATCCTGTAAGTTATTTAGATTGTTTCAGCTCACCCACAAGGTGTCTATCTGCATATGACCACGAAATTCAGCTTCCTAGACCTCATACTAGGAAACTCACTAACTCATTCAGTAGACCTGGAGTGCAGTGCAGGGCTCTCCCTTTAAACTAGGGCACTAATGTATCAGGTAGTTCTATGTGGGTACCACAACTGACATTTTGAGACATTCTACACACCTGAGTCCCATTGAGTGGCATGACACCTGTTGCCTCATTCATTTTTAGATATTCTACAAGGCCACCAGGTTCCAAAATGATGCCGACCAACACCCATCGACCTGATTCCTCTGAAGAGATCTGGAGCACATGCAGATCCAGACTCTATGGTACCCTGTGTTCTTCCCATGGGAGAGGGAGGTCTGACGACACAGAGCAAGCATGTCAAGCTGTCAGGCCAATAGCACAGAGATTAAACTATGGCATGGAGCCCCCTCCCTGCTGCCTTGCAGCTGAGAATCACTGGAGGAATATTTGGACCAAAAATGAAATCACCTTCCCTTACCAGAAGATGGCTATAAGCTTCTAGTATGCATTTCAAATACAGTATAAGTCATGCATGCTATAAAACATTAGTGTTTAGACAATGCAGAGCAAGACACACATCCATGCTATTCTCAAAAATCCAAAACACACCTTGAATAAGAAGCTAAAACTTTGATTTAGAGATTTCTAGCAGTAGACATTGTCAAGGTTTTGCTTGTTTCTCTAGAGTCAGCCAAACCCCTTGTATATATTTATGTATTTGGCTGTCTAATCCAGATTTCAATACATGCATGATCCTGAAAATTCTTTTTATGTATTGGGTGAGAACTGGGCAGGCTTGAGTGAGATCGTGATCCAAGTTTCAAATGTAGTAACAAGAGTTTTCTTGAACACAGACCTTCCTCATGTTAGTCAAGAACTTTACTACAGTTATAGCCACAGCCCTACAGCAGTCTATAGTGAAGCTGTGGCTAATAGTCTCTTGCTGGAAGTTGACTAGATAGATTCCACATCTGGATCAGCTAGAGACTTGGGCCTTAGTCTTCCAACTAGATTCTTTCTACATATAGCTTTGTGGTTCTAGGTAACAGACTATCCAGGATGGAGTTCAGGGAGTGGTGTGTGTGTGTGTGTGTGTGTGTGTGTGTGTGTGTTTTATATATCTATATATATGTGTATATATAATATGTGTATAGATAGATAGATGATAGATAGAATATCAGAGACCTGTGCATCTCTCTTAAGAACAAAGCTGTCTTAGAAACCCCCATAACCTTTCTTCCAGCCCTCTGACCAATTATAACCCAGACTTATGAGGAGAATGTGTTTGCTGTGACTGAAAGTTGGGTTCTCTCCTGAGCTGGGCATAGAGTCCTGATCCCAGAAGCATGGGTATGCCAATTAGGTGGCAATAGGTGAGCAATGGGGTGTCATAGGTGTTAGCTAGGTAAACCTGATGGTTAGTGCTGACATCAAATGAAGAAACAGGGTGACTGAACAGTGAGAAATGAGGCTTCCTCCTCAGTCCATTCACTTACAGGAGATGTGTCTGTCCTAAGGCCATGGTTGTTACTCCCGCCTGCCTGCTTACATATATAGGTGCTCTCACAGGGAAAATATCAAGAGTATATGTGTTAACGTGTGACTGGAAGACTGCATGATTCTTGTGGTGTTTTCTTATGGCTTCCCATTTCCCCCCAAATGTCTACAATGAACTTGTAGCACTATTTTACAAATTGCTTCTTTTTAATGTATGTGTGTACATGCTGTTTGTGTATATTCGTGTGTTTACATGTATACAAATGTAGGCACATGTGGAGGCCAGAGTTGAAGTTGGATTGCTTTCTAAATTGTTCTTCATTTTAGTGATTTTTTTCCAGAGTTTCTCTGTAGCTTTGGGGCCTGTCCTGGAACTAACTCTTATAGACCAGGCTGGCCTCAAACTCATAGAGATCTGACTGCCTTTGTCTCCCGAGTGCTGTGATTAAAGGCTTGTGCCGCCACTGCCTGTCCTAGTGATTTAAAAAAAAAAAACAAAACTTAAATTGAATTTTAGTGTGTGTATGTGTGTCTAGAGAGAGGCATACTCACATGTGTAAACAACATATAGTTTGGTTATTTCCTACTGTGTGACTCCCAGGGATAAACTGAAGGTGCTAAGCTTAGAGGCAGGCACCCTTACCCACTGAGCCATGCCGCTAGCCCACTATCTTATTCTTTGAACCCAGAGTTGACCAATTTGGCTAGACTGACTGGCCAGTGAGCCTCCAGATCCTCCTGTCTCTACCACCCTGCCACCGCGATTGCTGGCACATTTTGATGTGCCCAGTTTTATATAGGATCTTGGGATCAAATCCAATTCTTCACACTTGTGGGACAAACACTTTATCCACGGAGGAATCTCCTCGACCCCATGGGTCACTTTCCTTATTGAGCAAAGTATCTAAAAGAAAAGGCAAAAGAGTCACGTAGAAAAGGTAGTAATTAGGAATTTAGACTTTAGACACAGACCTTGGTCAGGTCATGATTCTGCTGCAAATGTAACAGAGTGCATTCCCGTATACAACATTTCCTGCCGAAAAAGTCACCATGTTGTTATGAGATGTAGCAGGCTGATGGAGAAGCGTATTTTGCTCCAGATGAGCTTACTCAGGCCTTCACATGTCTTCGAACATATGTCTGCTCCTTTCATGCTTTGAGAATATGCAGGATCAGCTTCATTCTTCAAAGGACTAAGATGTCTTCAAACCAACCTCCTCCCTGACAGTGACTCTGAGGAGACTTCTGCACGGTCATACTTCCTCTCTCAGCCCATGATTGGAAGGCAGAAGATGTGGAGTGAAGCCAGGACTGTTAGCACCATCATCCCCGGGGTCAGCTGGGCCTGCCTGACTGGATTGACTGCAGGGTCAAGTAGACGCTCCAAATGGACAGGGCAGTGTGCGTGTGGAAACCTAGTGTTTCCCTCTCTAGGTTAATCCTAGTGAAAGAAATGGGTGTAGTGGGAACCGGAAGGAAGCGGGCGTGTCCTAGGTTCTCCACCTGCTGAGGTGTAGCAATGCCTTACTCAGGAGGTATGTGGGAACAGCTGGTCTAGTTAGAATATGGCCAAGTCAGCAAGTGGATGGGGCTGGAACTGGGGGATGACCTCTCCCGGATTGTCTGAAGTTCTCCTTTCTGCTTCTCATCCACACGACAAACTGATTAAATAATCAGGTGTGTGTCCGTGTTTATGGGATGTTAAGTCAACATCCAATTAAGTACTTCACTGACCTGGAGCGCAGAGGATTCTCCTAGGGAGAACTGGCTTCACCCCGAAAATCAAGGCCTGCAATATAAACATTTTCTTTCATGACCACTGATGCGGGGCGCTGAGTTGAGTCTCTGTTTTCCTG